CACTCATGAAATTTTAAAAATAGGTAGTATTTGTGAATGGCATTCTTGGGGGAAGGATTAGTGGGTGATTAGGCTCTAATCGTTCACAAATTGCATCGTTACTTGCGTTTAAATCATTATTTTGTCTTCTTTCCCATGTATAGGACACACAAGCACTTAATTTAGATTATCCTAGATCTAAGGATATGATGTGCTTTTATTTTGATGCATTTCCCTTATGTTACACCAAGGGTTAGTCTTGAATACTTGATTCAAATCTATTTAACATAGCGACACCCTAAGAATAATAATTAAGAACCCGTCTAGCAAGGTTAAAGAAATTCTAGTAACTAGTGTATGCCTCTGATTGACATGAAACTCAGAACACTTAATCTTAATGACATTCTAAACCTCCCAAAATTTTGTAGGAATTTTAAGGGCTCGTTAAACCCCCAAATTAACAAATCCTAATTTGCCATTTAGTTAAGCCTCGAAGACTTCAGAAAATTATAATAAATTCAAATTAAATCAAAAAATCTCCCATAATATATAAAACTCTTGAAAATTTAGTCCTTAATCTAAGAAATTAAAATTCACTTAATTAGACTTCAATATAAACCTTAATTTAATTTTAATTAAAAATTACTCCTTTAATTAAATTAAATAATTAAAAATTTTAAAAACTCTAAATTTTTTTAATTCAGAAAAATCACAACTAATTCAAAAAAAATCTAAATTAGCAAACTAAAAGGCATTAAAATAAAATTAAATCTAATATTTATTAAAAAACTTAAGGTTTCTAGAAACTAACTTATATTAAAAAGTTAACTCTCTCGTCAACCATAGTTCATTAACTTTGGACAAAAAATTCTAAAATTTAGAACTTTGCCTAGAAAAATCAAAATATAGAAAACTCAAGTTCTAATTACTTCTTGAAAGCTCTAATATTTAATAAAAATATTGGATCCCTAAAGCCTAACATATTTCTAAAAGTGACCTTTGAACCCCTTTAACTTAGCAGGCAGGTTAAGCCCGAACCTTCTAAAATCCATGAATTCAACTTAAACTTTAAAGAACACTATCCTAAGTATTAAAACTGACAAACCAATTTAATTAAATAAAATGGGCCTTAAAACATTAATACATAAACTTTAAAATAAAATCCCCTTTTGAAATTCAACAAATAAGTCAACAAGCAACTTGAACTAATTGCCTAACATAGGACCTATACAAAATTACACAGCCTACTACACACACATAGAATTATTTGTTAGGGCACTACATCTAGCTTTAGGTTAGGCCGGTGATGTGCCTTTTCTATTTTCTGTGTTGTGATGCTCTTGCATGTGGCACATATGCTGGTCGACATGATTTACAATGATTATTTACTTTATTATTGTATTTTATTTAAGATGTGATGTGTGTAATAGATTATCCATAGGCTAAGAGCGATCTTGATACTAACGTTGTTTTCTGCATGTGGCCATTCTCATGCAATGCTGATAAAGGGGGCTAAAATGATAAATAATAATTATATAATTGCTTGCTACAGGGGATCCAAATGCTTAGCCCCCAAAATTAAATAAGAGCATGATCAAGTGTAATTGAAAATGTGTATTTTATTTTTATATATAAACTGTTTGAGATTTTTTTTATTTAACTTATTAAGATAACCATACAAGAGAGTCTAGATTTTTTTTTCGTAATATAATTTGATGTAATGTATCCACTTATGAAAGTCTTTGAAAGTGAGACATTTTAAATACTAGGTACCCAAAGGGAAAAAGAAATGTTCTTCACTGGGAGTTTCTTATTCGTTTGGGTACTCTTTTGAAGGATGAACCCTATGAAGACCGAAGGAAGATAATCCAGAGGAAGAAGATCTAGATAAAGACTTGAAGATGAAGATGAAGATGAAATGAATTTCTCTTAGGACTTGCGTCATTCAGTAGGATTAGAATCTAGGTTGTTGTCGGTGGGGTTTGACCACCATTACATTTTAGTAGACCCTGAGTTATACTATGTATGGCACTTACCATAGACTTTTTTTTTTACTATGGTGATTTATTTATATTGATGTGCTTATTCTAATCACATAAAAAAATTGCTTTTTTTTTCTTAGGTTTCTTTCTTGCATGTCTGTTGCCTAATTTTGCTAAGCTCTCTAAGGACTAAAATTTTTTCTACACATAATTAAAATTTAACAATTAATGAACTAAATAATATAGAAACTTAATGATCTAGGGAATAATCAGAATCATCCAGGTTCACATGCATATTTTTGCATTTATCTCCTCCCTTGCTATAAGACACTTCCCCGCATGTGGGTAGAGTCCAGATAATTTGACCTTTTAGAATGAGGTGCTAAATCTAGGGAAGTCTAGTTTTTTCTAAAATAATGTTTTTTAAGTATTTTAAATTTCATGCATACTTGATTTGGAGCCTTTAACTATCAAGCATTGTATTAGAAATTTATTAAATTAAAAATTTAATTACATTAGCTCTAGAATTTTTCACCCTATGTAAGTCTAATGCCAATTTAGAACATCTCTAGACATCGACCTTACTTCCAAAAGCTAATCTATCTTTTATAAAAACTGGAAAACATAGATTTTATATGCTCAGGGGCTTAGTTGGCTTTCATTTTTAGGCAAGATATAAGTCTAGAATGTATTATCTAGGACACGGGTGTTAGTATTATAAAACACTAAACCCGTCTTAGATTTAGGATTCAAAGATACTACTATTGGTGTATCATAGCACGCCTCATCAGTGGGTCATTCCCCTACTCTTCAGGCGCTATAAATCCTACATATTCACATCACATGGATGATGCCACCTCCATCCTTTTCTTCTATATACTTTGAGTGCATTGCCTATTTCTTTTTCTCCAGTTTCTTCTCACTACCTTAGTCACTCTGGGTGCTAGTGTGACCTTTGTATGTTGACTAAGCCAAATTGACCCTTTCTTTCCCTTTGAGTAGGACTTCCTAGTCTCCTCCATACATGCCAATCCCATATGAGAGGATAATATAGGATCCTTAATCAGGAATCTTCTCAGGCCTCGGCTTGAGATGTAATTAACTGTGGGAGCTTGCACCCACGGGAAACTAAATTCCACCATCAAATAAAACCCACTCGAGCTATTGTATCAGGTGGGGGAAACTCGTTGTTTCGATCAGGTTGTAGTGATCATTATCCATCGGTGTGTGTAGGTGAGGGTAGCTATCGTTAATGATTAATCATATGTATGATTTAATCTACCCTTCCATTGACCTGCTTGCGAAGAGCATGAAGGTCTGTGATTGTCTCATCCCTCAAGATGGTACGGTCATATACCCTTCGCATTCTATGACCAGTACCCTTTTGGAGGTCCACAATTGACATATTATGGAGTCATTTAATGTGTGTCTAAGTTAGTGTGAGTGCATTCTTGAGAGGTAGAGGCTTGTGTTTCTATGTTGGATTTTTATACTAGCGTGGATGAAATTGGTGAAGTGAAATAGAGTTGTATCTTAATTCTTGGTCATTTCTAAATATTTTTTTCACATTATTTATCTTGTGTCAAAGTTTTAACTTGTGTTTATTAAGTAAAATAATTTTTGTGTTGTGAAACATTGATGTCATGTATAGCCATATTTTTCTTTCTAAATATATGATTATTTAAAAGCATGTATTTCATAGAGTAGACTTAACCTTAAAAGAACTTGTGTTCTTTTTAATTTCTCTATACTTTAATTGGTTTTGTATGTAGACCAACATAAATTAAAAATTTAATGTGATCTAGAGCATTGATGGAGGAATATATGAATAATTAGATATGTAAAAAATTAATCCAGCCTTAGCATAGACATTTGGTGGTTAAGACTATGGGGTTTTAAGAAGATCTAAGAATTATAATTAAGAGTAATCCTTGCTACTAGCTTTATAAGCTCGATAGAGATGAGGAGTACTTATGCTTTGATCCATAATAATATAGAAAACCTCTTTAAGGAAATCATGTATTTTTAAATATATCATAGGTTTAGAACTTTTAAAATGAGTCAATTTACATTTTGGATTTAATGATTTAATATAATATGTACTTCTCATTTAAATCTTCGAGCTAGATAAGTTTAGCTGTTCAGTATGTAGTACTAAAGTGAACCTATGATAGTTTAAATGTTTTCACCATGGAATTGACACTTTTCTCATCAATATATTACTTGATATGACATATGCACTTTTGTTAAATAGGACTTAAAGAGTAGAAAACAATAACCTTAATAGAGAACAAAATAGAGTGTATGTAAACTAAAGGAGGAAGCTTTTTATTTTCATAAGTTAATAGTAGCTTTCATTTCAAGATTTTGGTTCCATTGTAGGGGACTAATAACTAGGGAAATGATTATCCTAATTTGCATTTTACATTGCTAAAAAATTACTACTTTAATATAATTTTATTTTAAATTTTTACCTACTATTGTAGCTTTGCTTATTGATTAACTATTACTACTCATGTTCTAAATTTTTTATTATGTTGCTTACTATTATATGTGTAGTATTAAACAACCAATAAAACTTTTGTTTTAACAAAAAAATTGAAAAGACTTTAAGAAATTCTAGAAAAAATCAAAATTTTTAAAAAGATTTAAAAATTGCTGAACAATTTCATGAAAATGATCAACCTAGATTGGTTAAAGAATATGCTAACCCTATTGTTTTATGGTACTCATACAAACAGTCCTAGCGTTCAAATAAATAATTTTTAATTAAAACTTCCTATAATTCAAATAGTAAAAAAAATCTCAATTTAGAGGAACTATAATAGAAGACCTTAATTTATATTTAGCTAGTTTCCTTAAAATATGTGAAACCTTCAATTATAATGGTGTTACTAATGATGGTATTAGACTTAAGTTGTTTTCATTTTCACTTACGGATAAAGAAAAATGTGGTTAAATTCAGTGCCCCTCAATTATAACTTGGAATGATCTTGCTCATAAATTCTTAGCTAAATATTCTCACAATCCAAAATTGTTATGCTTAGAAATGACATCACATCTTTTACCTAGTTAGATAATAAGTTTATTTTAGAATAATGAGAGAGATTTAAAGAACTTCTTAGTAAATGCCCTTATCACGTCCTTTATGTTGGTTAATTATTCATACCTTGTATAATGGCCTTATGGGTTCCCTTTGATCAATCATGGATGTTGTCACTGGTAGGTTTCTGATGTTAAAGCCATTTGATAAGGCTCATTCTTTAATTGTGGAGATGGATGGAAATAATTTTCAATGGCCATTTGAAAGAATCAATTCTAAGAAGGTAGCTAGTTTTTATGAATAGCATGCTTTATCAATTTTAACTGCTCAAGTAGTTTTTATTTCTTGAAAATTAGATAATCTTGGAATTAATTGACCTAAAAATTCACCTATAACTATAAGAGAGACCATCTTTGGAGATTCTAGTGATCGTAATGCTTTTGGAGTATAATCCTTTAATGAACTTAAAATTGAACCAATAACCCTTTTTAAAAAATATATAATCTAAGATAGGAATCATTCAAATTTCAATTGAAGTAAAGAAAAAGTTGTTTCTTTCACATTATGAATAAACCTGGAAGAATCCATGTTAATACCATTAAAGACAAAGTTGTTTCTTTCCACCAAAGATACCAAAGAATAAGGGAAGAAGTGACATTCCTAATATGGCCTTTATAGTTCGCAAACCAAGCCTGAAGAAGACCATAAATGGACATGTTGCCCTTAAAATTATTTAATTTAAAGATATCATCAAAGCAACACCAGGTTTTAACCGCAATAGGCTCCGACACAAAAACATGTTGCACGCTTTCAAAATGAAAATAACATTGACATTTAGCAGGAATGAAAAAACCTATTTTAGTCAAACTGTCATCTGTAGGAATAAATCTGTTTAAAATTCTCCAAACAAAGGTAGACACCATAGAGGGGATACTTTTATGCCAAATCCTTGAAAAAATGAAATTAATATCTTTTTTTAATTCTAAAATCATGCCAAGCATCTTTTAATCTAAACAAACCATCACTAGCTAACTTACATAAGAGAACGTCTTTAGAGTCAACATTAATAAGAGTAGTGAGGATTTTCTAAATAATGCAATCAGGAACCACCTCGATAAGCTTAACATGATCCCAATAGTTACCTGTGATAAAGTAATTAACCTTAACATTCGCATTGGAAGTAGAATTAATAAGAGAATCAATAGAAATAGAAGTCAACCATTGATCCTGCCAGAAAAAAACATTACCACTTCCAAGACCCCAAGAGAGATGAGGCTCCACATCCCACTTAATCTTACACTTCCTTTGCCAAGCTTTAGAATCTCCAATATTAAAAGAACAAGTAGAAGGATGCTTCCCAACACAATACTTAGAATACATAAACTTAGCCTATAAGGATGAATTAGCATGGAAATTGAACCATAACTTATAAGAAAATGCATGGGCCATGTCAGCCATAGTTTTGTAGCCAAGACCTCCCTCTTTTAAAATACCACAACACTTGTCCCACAAGGCCCAAGTAATTTTAGTGTTACTAGAAGAGCCTTTCCAAAAAAAAACTTGTTAAGGATAATATCAATATGGTTACACACTCATTTAGTAGGTAGCATAGTTTGAAAGGAATAAATAGGAAGAGAACAAAGCACACTTCTAATGAGAGTAAGCCTACCCCCATAACTCAAAAAATTAGACTCCCAGAACATGAGTTTATGCTGAACCGAAGAAATTAAATCATTAAACAAGAAAGATTTTTTTCTACCTTTAAATAAAGGAATACTATGATACTTAATAGGTAATTTCCCCTGCACAAAACCAGTTAGATGCTTAATAATTGAGATACGATTTCTCTTCATATTATTAGAAACAATAAAATAACTTTTATGATTATTTAAGGACATGCCGCTAATAGTGTAAAAATCATGGAAAATCCATAAGTTTAGTAATATTATTATGAGAAGCATTCATGAAAATGATAAAATTATCAGCAAAATAAAAGTGAGAAATAAGAAAACCCCACTCGGTTCTGAAATACATGTTGGGTTGAATTTCAAACATGTTAGCAATACTCCTATAAAGACAATCAACAGTAATAATAAACTGCACAGGGGACATAGGGTCACCTTTCCTTAAGCCATGAGAAGAATTAAAAAAACCAACACTCTTGCCATTGATAAGCAATGAAAAATAGGACCCCTCATTACAATTCTTAATTAGATTAATAAAATCTAAATTAAACCCAAAAGAGTGCAGTTATAAATGAACTGCCAACTAATATTATTATAAGCTTTGGAAATGTCCACCTTGAGTATGGAATTACCACCCCTCACCTTAATATCCAAATCATGACCAAATTCTTGAGCAAGCAAAATATTGTCATAAATAGAGCGACCTTTAATAAAGCCCATTTGAAACTAAGAAATAATCTTAGGAAGAACATTAGATGAATGAGACATAAAAGTTTTAGAAAGCCATTTTATTGAAAAAAGTGCAAAGACGAATAGGTCTGTAGCCATCCCAATTATTGGCATTAATCTTCTTAGGGATAAGAATAATAGAAGTAGAAGAAAAAAACTTAGGCATAGGGTTAGCTGCAAAGAAATCCAAAACAACAGCATAAAGATCATCCTTAATGATTTCCCAAGCTTTTTGAAAAAAATTGGTAGTAAAACCATCAGGACCAGCCACAGAGTTACCGTTCATGTCGAAAATAATAACTTTTAATTCCTCAATAGAAGAAGAGCTAGAAGGCATATCATTATCCGCCTCAGAAACAAGAAGGAGGACACGTTGGAAAGAATCGTGGTCCGATGAGAATTGAACCGTTGATCATAAGATCAACAGTTCCAATCTTCCACAGAGCAAAAAGACTGCAACCCGAACCCTAATAGAGAAAAAACACCTTATTCTCTCGATCTACTCAATGGATCCTAATGAAATTTTAAACACACATAGTACGCATGAAGAGCATTCATGGGGGTTAAAAATTACAGCTTGAAATGCACTATTTGAAAAGTTAAATAGATATATGTATTCTAGCTAGGGTTTGAGATTTACCTCAATCCATACGGTGGATTAAGTAGATCTTGGGTTCTTTGAGCTTGTAGACTGTCCATGAAAAAGTTCCTAGTTGATCCTGCTCCTTGATTTGCCTTGGATGGAGAGGGAGAAGCCTATGAAGGAAAAACATCTCAGGTTCGCCAGAGGATCATCGCGAGCGGCCTTGGTCCATCATTCTTGCCTTGGAAATCATAGAAGAGGGTGGTGGGAGCTCTCAAACAAAATCTTAGCTGTTGAGATTGCTTGGAGAAAGAGCAAGAGTCAAAAAGTCCTTTATAAGCCCTAAAATTGTCTTATTTATATCCCTTGGCCTATCATGAATGGTCAAGATCTAATCACCCATTAATTAGGAGGAAAAATAAGAGGATTTGGCCATGGCTTTTAAATTTGAATCATTTAGGGGGGAGTTTATTGCATTAAAGGCCTTTAATGGGCCTTAAATAGGTTAATTTGACCTATTAATGGCTTTGTTTGACTAAGTTAGAGTTTGCCTTGGTCAAACCAGTCAATTAGGTAAAAAGGAATCAAAGTTTGGGCCAAAGAACCCCTTGAATGGATTTGAATTTGAATAAGTGAGAATATGACCCAATTAGGTCTAATTTGACCAAATTGAGCTAGGGTTGACCTAAGCATGGGTTGACCTAGTCAACATGGTCTACTGAACCTAAATAGGTGGAGGGATGAGTCCAAGAAAGGTTAGAATTGGTTAGAACTTGATTTGTGCTCTAAAGGGTAAAATGGGTAAACCCAGGTTGACCTGGTCAACCAGGTTGACTCAGGACCTAGGTTTGGGCTCAACAGACTTGGCTTGACTCCCTAGACACATTGGGACTAGTCCTACGGTCTAGTCTAGTCAAATTTGACCAAGTCAACTCTTTGACCTTGGTCTAGGGGAAAAATAGGTCAACAAACGGACCCCCAACAGGAGTGGCGAACAAACTAGTGAACCACTCGTGTTGGCGTTGATCGAATGTGACAAACAAAGTCAAGTATAGAGTACACAAGTACAAAGGTACCACAAAGGTGGGAGAAAGTAGGAGCTCTTCTCCTAGCCTTACCCTACAGTAAGGGCAGAGCCTAGGAGAGAGCGAAAAGCAGGAGTACACAAGTAGGAAGTCACCAAATATTAAACAAGTGGTGGGATCTTCTCCTGGCCTTACCCTATAGCAAGGGTAGAGCCAAGGAAAGAACTAAAGTGAAGATCACCGCTAGGGTGAAAAAGAGGTAAAGGGATTCTCTCCTAACCTTACCCTGTAGTGAGGTAGAGCCGAAGAGAAAACCAAGGGTAAAATAGTAAAAGTAGACCGACTATGTGCCTGACCATATCAAAACAGTGTAATAGAAGGTGTAGGGGGTCCCATCTCCTCCTGCTCATCTCAGAATAGTGGATTGGGGTGACTCAGTATTTGCTTGACCAAATCAAAACATCAAATAAAGGATTCACAAAACCTGGTGTCTGCCTGATCACAACAAGACACTCAGGGTAAAAAGGTGGAGAGGAATGCCTTTTAGGTGCTCTGTCAGGCTCTCTCGACCAAGTAAAACCAACTACCTGCCTGACCGTATCGAAACAGTAGGCTAAAAGGTAGAAAGATCCTGTGTCCTTCTGATCCTTTCCGAACAGTGGATTGGGGAGACTCAATAATTCTGCCTAATCTCAGCAAAAGCAAAGAAGCCATGAAATTGGAAGCCTGTCTAGTCTTTAACAGGACATGCAAGATAAAGGGGTGGTGAGGAATGCCTCCCAGGGACTCTAACGGGCTCTCTCAAACAGGTAAGTAAAACCAACTATCTGTCTAACCGTATCAAAATGGCAGTATATAAGGTGAAAAGTATCCCATCTTCTCCGAATCCTCTTGGGACAGTGGATTGGGATGACTCACTACTTCTTCCTGACCTTAGAAGAAGCTCATGAGCTATAAAAATGGAAGCCTGCCTAGTCTTCAACATGACATCTGGAGCAAAAGTGTGGTGAGGAATGCCTCCCAGGGACTATGTTGGTCTCTCTCAATCGGGTAAGTAAAACCTACTACCAGTCTGACTGTA